CAAGAAAAGTGACGCGCATGAAACTTTCCCTCTGTGGGGTAATGTGCCTAGACTGATGGACGCAGCCGCAGACAGACGCATTGGTCTTCTTATCTGTTCTATTGCACAACCCGGTTCACTATGGCATTTAACTTTCTTCTAAACTTACTTAAAGGCGCTCCTCGAGCCTCAAATCCGGGGCATCCACAACGCGTGCGTGATGTTAACATCCGCACTACAAATAACCCTCCACAACAGGCCCAGAGCCTTAATGAGGGAAGTGAGGTAAATAACCCGCGTACCTATTCTGCAACATCAACAATAGGTCGCGGCGAGGCTTGGACACCAGAAGAAACAGCGACTCTCAAAGCTTTGTGCAGAGAGTATGACAACTTGCCTAATTGGCAAGGAATTAATTGGCAAGAAGTTTTAACGAGGTACCTGGCCATCCATAGACCACGTACCAAGGCAGCATTGAAATCGCGCTGGGCGATTATAAAGAAAGAAATGGGAGGGTCTCGAGCCGCCCGAGCCCCCCAAGGACCCGACACCCGTTCGGCTGAACCTTATTCTCAAACAACAGCCACGGGTGCGAGTCCCGAGCCTCTAGAGCCAGTTTCACCTGAACAAAACAAGTGCAGTAAACCAACAAAGAAGCGGGGCGATTCGCAGACTAATCGCAGGGTAACAGCTACAGTCATCGATCCCCCTGCGGGCGTCGATAGAGAGTTCGTAGCCGCATTTGGTGAACGATTTGATACAATATACCAATGGGCTAAACTCTCATACAACAGGGTGCCGATAAAGCGTCCCTGTGGAACCATACCAAAGGCACTGCTTGAGCTTGCCAATAAATGTATTGAAATTGTATGTGAAAAAGATGCACATATTAACACCATTAATGCCTCGGTTTATGCGGCCGCCAGGACCGTGGCTCAATTCCACGCAGACAAGCAAAGAGAGCGGAAATTGCCTACGGCTCAATGGTTCCAGAAACATAAAGCGTTGGACCGGGGATACGCTGAGCTTATCCAACGCATTGAGAAAGAGCTGGCACGGCGAAAGGAGAAGAGACAACCAAGCTCAGAAGAGCTGGAGAACATACGTACTATCCGTGAAGCACTAGGGCGAAATAGCACCTCAGAACTGATCAGAATCCTCGAAAAAACGAGGATGAGAAAGAGATTGTTGGAAGCGCGTATCGAACTCAGAGAAATGGAAACGAGCAGGAAAAAGCTGCGAAAACGATTCGCAGCACAAGGTAATTTGAGGTTGCTACAAAAGAACCGCGAAACCACATGTCAGCATGAAAGCCCTAAAATGAAGGAAGTCTACGACTTCTGGACCAAGCTGATCGGCACGAAGTTCATCTCGACTCCTGCAGCCGCACCAGAACTCACTCAATGGCGAAGGAAAATGCAAGGCGAATATCCAGTAAGTGCAGCTCAGGATCTCACTGCACTAAGCCACTCGTTTGATTGGGTTCTCAAACGAGCAAAACCCTGGAAGGCACCGGGTCCCGATGGGATTCAGGCTTTCTGGTGGAAAAGGCTCCCCGCAGCGGAAGTCCGCCTGCGCGGCTTCGTCCTGCGGGCACTGGAAACCGGACAGGTCCCCGGCCCTTGGTTCTGCAGAGGTAGGACGGTTTTGCTCTACAAGTCCGGGGAGCGAACCGATCCCAAAAACTACCGGCCGATCACGTGCCTCAACACATGCTATAAGATCCTTACGGGGGTCTTATGCAAAGCGCTCATGAATCATGCTCAAAAAGGAACAGCTATACAAGAAAATCAAAGAGCCATGAAGACAGGAGAGTGGGGTTGCACACATGCCCACATTTTGGACAGGGCAATGGTACTCGATGCGACGTCGCAGAAGCGACATTCTCTAAGCATGGCCTGGATTGATTTCCAGAAGGCATATGATTCAGTCCCACACGATTACATGTTATGGGTCCTTGAAAGCATCAATACTCCTCCTAAAATAATTCAAATAATCCAACGCTTAATGCGCAGGTGGAGCACATGCTTTGAGCTGAATCAACGAGTAAAACAGTCAGGTAGCAAACATGCGATGAGAGTATGTCGTGGGGTGTTTCAGGGTGACACCCTTTCTCCGGCGTTATTCATACTTGCGATATCCCCTATCAGCTATGCGCTAAATGAATCGATACCAGCAGTAAAATCATCTTGCGGGTGGAGCTCCGGGTACGGTTTCACCCTGGGTCACCAGTTTTATATGGACGACCTGAAACTATATGCCCGGGACCCACAAAATCTCCGCAAACAAATAGCCCTAGTCGCACGGCTCGGTAATATTACCGGCATGACTATAAATGTTGGGAAATGTGCAGAGGTCCACTGTGACCCTCATGAGCAAATGCTGAGGCTATTGCCAGTTCAGAAGTTTCAGAAGCAGAGATTAAACTGCCAACACTCGGCCCCTGTGACGTATATAAATATCTTGAAGTGGAAGAAAGACTGTTAGCAACTGACGAGGCGATAAATCGATTCGAACGTGCGCTAATATCAAAGGCCGAAATCGTTTTCGGCAGTAATTTAACACGTGGTCAAATGACGTTCAAGTTTTAAATTATTTGAACCTATGTCGGTGGGAAACGAGATTAAATGAAATAGTACAAAATGAACATAAGAGAAGATAAAAATGAGGTGAAAGGGAAATGTAAAATAATCCATTAGGTAAGTAGATATAATGTAGATAAATATGAAATTTAAAGGAATTGTACAAAATGATCAAATTATAAAATTAATGAGAAGTATAAAGGAAATGTGTAGTTTTAAAAGTACCGTCAAAAGGTAACCTTCGTGCCGATAGTAGTTGGAACGTGCGGAGAAGTAGTTTGAACGTGCGCATCTGCAAACGGTAAGTACGATTGCAGATTAGGATTGGAATTATCGCAAATTATTGATGAAATAATAATGTTATTGAAACACTGCTAACCCCACATTGCAGGTCAGTAGAAGAGGTCCCTCCCGCTACAACTAACCGCTTCGAATATGGAAATACGACCAAAAATGTGCAGCCCCGGTAGCAGCACAGATGAACGGCTTGTTTTGTGGCCGGGCAGCGCTATAGCAAAAGTGCCACCCGGAAACAGAATACGGCTGTTTCGCAAGATGTGATCGGGCCGTTGGCAACTCGGCCGGCGGAAATTCAAAATTGGCAGTGGTGAGGAAGAGAGTAAATGACGTGCTTGCTATTTAACTGCACTCTCACTCTGTATATGTAGAAGTAATAGAAAGCATGCGCGTCACTTAGTTTCTTCCTCACCACCCGCCAACTGAATTGCCGCCGGCCGGAAGCCAACGGCTCTACCACATCTAACGAAACAGACAAGTTCGGTACTGGGTGGCAATGGTGTATACTATCGCAGGTATCGCCGCAGTACAGGATAAGCTTGTACTGCATCTACGGGACTGTGCTTAAATAATTGCGTTAAATTGCGCTGTTGAGGCTTCAAGGATAGGAGCTGTTCTTCTCGGAGGTGAGATGTTCTGTCGTATAGCGGAAGCGAGGCCTTTGTAAACCTAAAATACCTGCAATATCTGATTAGTGGGGTTATTTTCATTAGTAAAGAGTGCCGTGGACCTCGACAACCGCTCCAGGATCCCGTCGGCGCTATCAGGTTTGATCCGCAGTGCATCGCAAAGGTCCCGTTTGGTAGCCGCCAGGTGCTCGCTGCATGTTCCGACGACTTCCGCCACAAAGGTCACTTTACGTCCATATTGGCTCTCCAAGTCGGATATAAAGTTCAGTCCAGCGGGATACGTTAGGCGAGTCTCGTCCTCCGTAACCGTGGAGTTCACAGTGTACCGGTTGATCTTGAGCCTTCGCTGGCCCCCAAGACCAGTAGTGTGGGTGACGCTTACCTCAAACACAAGTATCTCCGAAGCCCCGTTGTCGAAGACAACAATGTCCGGATGTCGGTGAGCCATCCGCGCTTGTGTGGGTATGGCGGTGTGAGGAATAAGGGTTCGACTCCGGAGAGGGAGCCTGAGAAACGGCTACCACATTCAAGGAAGGCAGCAGGCGCGCAAATTACCCACTCTCAGCATGAGGAGGTAGTGACGAAAAATAACGAGACCGTTCTCTTTGAGGCCGGTTATCGGAATGGGTACAATTTAAACCCGTTAACGAGGATCTATGAGAGGGCAAGTCTGGTGCCAGCAGCCGCGGCAATTCCAGCTCTCAAAGTGTATATCGTCATTGCTGCGGTTAAAAAGCTCGTAGTTGGATCTTCACTTCAGGACCCGGTCCGCCCATTTGGACGAGGAATGGGCTCCGAAGTTCGAAATGCCGGTTTTCTCTGTGCCACCTCCATCGGTCGCACAGGGTAGCCAGGAAGTTTACGTTGGAAAAATTAGAGTGCTCAATGCGGGCTAATGTCTGAATATTCGTGCATGGAATAATGAAATAGGATCGCGGTTCTATTTTATTGGTTTTCGGAACTGTGACAGCAGTTAAGAGAGATAGATGGGGGAAAATTTACCCCCTTTCCGCCTTGCTGTCCATCACGCACAAATATGCCCCCAAGCGATAAGAAACAGAGACATGCTTTCCTTCTGCACTAAAACACATGGGATATGTACTTGGGATGGCATTATATGGCCATCCATAAATGTGGGACGGTTTTTACACCGTCCACCCACATGACGCACGCTTCTCAGAGCGTGCAACAACATGATTACGGCTACTAGGCCGTAAATACTTATATATTAATTCTCAGTAACAACCACTTCATTATGTAATTTATGCATATTTTGCTTGTGATACAACCCCATTTTAACCTTTTTTATTCTTCTAGTTTCTACGTTTCATACGTACGACCATCCATCGGTATTATGTACAGATCGTATAAGTTAAATCCCGGTAATGAAATTGAAATATTAAGATGAAACGATACCATGTAGCGTAACGTATCCAAAAGCATCGCATTCTAGATACCAACTATTATTATCCTCGCCCCCCACACCCTTAAGTGTTAACAAATTAATAGAAATCCCGTAGGTTTAAATTTGCTCTTAGGCCACAGGACTCCCTCCTTTTCCATCCTTCCCCACCTGCCCCCCCCCCCTTTTACATTATTACAACAAATTTGCGCCCGTAGAGTAGAGCAACCCTGCAAATCCAGACCATTCCTCAACAACATTTAGACAATTATTTGCCCCACCCCCTACCGCTTTTCCTGCTCTCCTCCCTTTTTACCTCGCTCATCTCATTCAACCTACTTCGACCCCGAAAAGTGGACTACTAGGTAAGCTTTTGTTTTCTTTTTTCTTTTTTCCTCTTCACAGCCCCATCTCCCCGTCCCTCGATTGGCCCCCTCACCTGGCCTTTAGGTTTACCATTATTAATGATTGAAATACACCGCTCCCATAAGCATCAATTGCTAACCGCACTTGGTTTGCAGATGCACACATTC